GCTTGTTCCCATCTTTGCTTCTTTCCTTCTATGTTGGTCTGGGCAGAGACTCATCTTTTATGTTTACAAAATCAAAACTAAGTCTTCTTAGCTGCTGGAGTCAGATCATCACTCTCTATGTTTGGCAACTTCTCTCCAAAGATGAGATAAAGTTGGTCTGCACTTGTCTCACTCCAGGAAATTCAGCATCAGCTGAAAAACTGTTAGAAGGATGGATGGACCCTTTGCCCTTAATGCCCTGTTTCTCTCACTTGACACAAAGTTAAGGAGGTAAAGCTCTTAGGGATGTCTACAAATCCAGGCTTGTTAGTTCTTAGCTTGTTTCTCTTTGTAAACATATCCTTACCCTCTTTAGAATTCCAAGTTGCCACGTAAAGTTTCATTACAGTGAAGTGGGTTGTTCTTTGTAATGAAGTATTTTTGCATCCTAACAGTTGATAGCCTACAACAAAGGTGTCAAATACACTACCACTGGTGGCATGGTGGCCCCACAACACTCTTGAGTATAGCCAGAACCAGATTTAACTGTAATTGGGAAATAGTTACCAAAATAAATAAAAAATATATTAGAATATGGCTAATGCTAATATGTGATTTTCTAAGTCAATATGAGGCCACAGGGATCCTTACATAGTAGTTTAATAGTCCTTTATTTCTATTTGAGTTTGATCTATTGAAACAGTATTTTGTTGATCTGGTTATAATGAATTTTTAATAAGCAATTTTGTTTTTCAGTCATTTTCAGTCATGTCTGACTCTTTATGATCCCATTTGGGGTTTTCTTGGCAAAGCTACTGGAGTGATTTGCCATTTCCTTCTCTAGCTCATTTTACAGATGAGGTAACCAAGACAACAGGGTTAAGTGACTTGCTCAGGGTCACACAGCTAGTAAGTGTCTGAGGCCAGACTTGAACTCACTAAGATGAGTCTTCCTGACTCCAGGCCCAGCACTCTTATCCACTGCACTGCTTCACTGTCCTTCATAAGGAATAACAGGGTCTTTTGGTCCTTTCTATGTGCCATTTACTCTCGTCAATCAAATAACTCAGTTGTATTTGATTTGCATTCCAGGTAGAGAAGAGGAGGAGAAATTAGATATTCATTCCCTTTTTGTTTTGTTTTGTCCAGACCCATGACTTAAAAAATGTGGGGAATTTCCACTGGGAAAACTTTTCCCCTGCTACAGGTTGGTGACTCATTTTAAATGTATAATCACAAGGCCATAGAATTTTAGTCCTGGAGCTCAGAGGGCTCTATGGGGATGCCTCATCCTACCCTCATTTTACAGATGAGAAAACTGAAGCTTCACTTGTAGCAAGCAATGGAGCCAAGGTTTGGCTTCAGATCCTCAAACTCCAAACCCAGGATTCAGCTTTCCCTTGGAAACACTGTACCTAGGGGACAAAGAAGTTTATGTGTCAGAAACTGGACTTGAACCCAGGTCTCCCTTACCTGAAAGCCACTCATCCCCTTTTCCTTGTGCTATTCGAGTGGAAATGAGGTTTTCAGTTTCTGCCGCTGCCCTTAACTAGCCACCCAGGAGAAGCAAAGCTGTATGAGTTCAGAGGAACAAGGGAGTCAGTGGGGTATTGAGTTCCTCCTGCCTTTTTCCTGAACTACATGGTAAGGAGTTATTTTGATTGCTAATTCACTGCAGAGAAGATGGATTTTAGCTCTGTTTCTTTTCCAGTCTCTGTGGACCGGGAGTATAATTTCTAGCAATGTATTTAAGAGAACAAAATTCTATTATCGTTAAACATTTTGGAAGCCTCAAAGAGTTCATTTGCATAGTCCTTCCTTATATAGAGAAGGGAACACCTAATGAGGTAAACTCAAGACATATTTGTTTTTGTTGTTCAGTTAGTGTGTTTGCTTCTTGTCTCCCTCATTAGAATGTGAACTGCTGGAGGGCAGGGATTGTCTTTTGCCTCCTTGTCATATACTAGGTACTTAATACATGTTTGTTGACTGACTTCAGCTGTTCTTTAGCTCCATCCGATGAATCCAAAGCACTAACAGCTCTTGGTTATTAAATAACACTATGCAAATAACTTCCAGGGCTGTTGCCCTTGGGTTTTATTTTCCAGTTTTTAAAAACTCAACAGGTTTACATACATACATATACATACATACATACATACATGCACACATATAAGAATATATGTGTATATAAGAATATATGTGAATATATGTGTATGTGTATGTATAAATGTATGTATATGAGTGTGTGTGTGTGTATATATATATGCAAATATATATATATATATATATTTACCTCTTTGACAATATTCTCTCATATAATTTGACATATATTAACAAGGCATTTCCTTTTGCCTAAAAATTGAATACTTTTTTACTTAATGTAGGAGGTTAATCAAGAGGATTCCCTGATTAACTTAAGGAGCTTACGGGGTGTGTTTGGAATTTTGTAATCTTCCCGTGAAGGGCCTGGACAGACTCATTGGCACAGTGTGGTAATGAGGTTCCCTGGTGGTTCTGACTCACTCTGTAATAGTATCTTTTGTTCTTCAGAGGCACTCATATTATTCTACATCTTAATGCTGTATAACAACACTAGTCCAATATTAATATTGAAAAGGTGAGATGTTTGAAAGCAGGGACTGATTTTATGTTCCCCCATCCTTTTTTTGTATCTTCAGAGCTTAGCATGGTACTTGGCACATAGTAGGGTTCAATAAGTGCTTGTTTCATTGTTTTCATGGGAAACTTTGGGTCAATAAGGCAGCTTTGTAATTTCTCAAAATCAATATAACTCTATCTTTTCCTTTGAAACAATGAACTAGGTCCAGAACAGAAATGATAAAAATAGCTAATGTTTGTGTAATTCTTTAAAGCTTGTAAAAGTGGTCTATGTATGTTATCTCATATGGTATTCACAATAATCTTCAGAGATAGGTGCTATTATTACCCCCATGTTACAAATGGAGAAACTGAGCCTGAGAGAAACATAAGCCCAGAGCCTAGAATGTTGGAATACAGGTTACATTAATGTAAAGTTTTAGTATCACTTGGTAAAGCAAAGAAAATGTTCACATAAATTCTACTCAAGATTTTCAATAACCTCTCAGCATCCAGTAACCATTCAGGGTTATGCTGCCATTCCACAAATCCGTATCTCAGTTCTCCAACTAGGTACTAGTCATTTGGCCCCCATAGTCTGGGGTAGGCAGTGGAGCCCTTCTCAGAATAATGTTTAAACACAGGATTTGAAAGCAAACCAATTATATTGAAATAGCTATCAATTTTTTTTAAGTTTGGACCTCAATTTAAGAATTCCTACCTTAAAGCAGTCCTGCAAAAACTGAGATTTTTTTGGTGTGATACTTTTTTCTTTTTCTTTCTTTCTTTTTTTTTTTTTGGTGTGGCAATTGGGGTTAAGTGACTTGCACAGGATCACACAGCTAGTAAGTGTCAGAGGTTGGATTTGAACTTGGGTCCTCCTGACTCTAAGGCCAGAGTTCTATCCACTACACCACCTAGCTGCCCCTTTTTTAACTATAGATTTATTTTTTATTTTTTTAGGCAATCGGGGTTAAGCAGCTTGCCCAGAGTCACACAGCTATTAAGTGTTAAGTGTTTGGTCTGAGACCAGATTTGAACTCAGGTCGTACTGACTTTAGGGCTGGTGCTCTGTCCACTGCGCCACATAGCTTGCCCCGTGATACTTTTTTCATTTCACCTATTTGTAGTTGATAAATTCAAGGATTGTTAGTTAAAGCTACTATGTTATGTGGGTTATAGATGTATCCCTCTAAAAGGGCATTTAGAACCAGGATTTGAGGGTGGATTCTAACCTTATTGGCTGAATTCTTATTATAAGGTAAAAGTTTTTCTTGTAAGGCAAAGACTTTTTGGGAGTGGGGAGGAACATATAGAATAAGATTCATATAATTTGCTGGTCCTTTTCCATGCATTCTGTTAAACTAAATGGAATTTTCAACATAGAAGGTTGAATAGCATATATAAAAAAATGACCTGGCAACAATTTTGATATTGGTTTCCTGAGCCCTGCTTATCATACTCTGCCATACTTCTTTTTTCTGGGATCTCAAACTAATTCAGGGGTGAAGCAAGGAATTCTGGTGGGGATGAGAAGCTCAGAAGGGGTTCTCCCTCTTATTTTTACTTAGTCAAAAAAGACTTACTGGGTAAGATCAAAAGTGAACTTTGAAGAATAGCATGGAATTAGTCTCTTGTATGTGTTTATGTGTGTTAAGGGGACAGGTGGAGCTGTATATGTTTGGTTTCAGATACACGGATGTTGTGAGAGAATCTTTTAGTACTGAGGTTCAGAGAAGTGACTAAAAGATGCCAAATGAAAAGGAAACAGAGATGGAAAAGGGAAAGGATAGGTGAATAATTTGTATTATTTTTTTTTAAATTTGTAACCCTTTTAAAAGATAGGCTGATCCTGTTAGAACATAACCAAGGAAACACGAGTATCTTGTTTTTCCTTTGATGTTTTTTTCCTTGCAACACACAAGCTAGCACCCAAGAATTACAGGAGCTAATGAAACCATCAGATGACTCAGGATTTTATTTACTCTAAAATGCTTCTCTTCATCCACCCAGTGTAGTCTCAGACTTAAGGGGAATGAGATGTCATTTATTTGGAATAGTATAATCAACTTAAAAATGGAAAAACATTCCAACTGATAATGAATTGTGGTCATTAGACAAGCTTTGGACTAAATTCTAATTACCCCAGGGGCAATTTTGTGAATTTTTGTAAAGAGCAAGTGCTATTAGCAATACTATACTATTAACAACCTCTGACATGTTCAGCTAACAGTACTAAATGCACCCAAAGGCAATAATAAAATTGATGGGAACCTCTAAGACCTTAACGGTAAGAAAAAGATCTTGTGTCACATTTCCCCTCTTCTTCTCCCCACCTTCCCCCCCAGCCTTTCTCCAGTGATGTCTGAGGGTATGTTTCTCAGAACTTCATTCAAAATGACAGAACCATATGAAAACAATCATATTTGAGATGGTGCAAGTTCTTTATTGTGTGCTTTGTGCTTGCACTACTCAAAGTATTTGTGTTGATTTCTTTTCATCTCTCAGTTTCTTGGTGTAGAGGCCTGTAAGGATATGCTGAAATGACTTGTGATTTTCTGTTGTGCCCCTTAGGTGTTGATAACAAAATCCCTGAACAGATGTGAGAAGGAAAGAGTCAGGAGTATCTTGGGAATACGTCTTTTTAGTTCTTGAAATTTCGTTGGGAAAGATAGAGATGAAAGGTTCTTGTGTTAATTACAGTAGCTTTGAAGGACTTTTTTTTTTTGCTAAAAATGTTGCATTTAATCTGAAAGAAAAAGAAGACATCACCTTGTAAATTGTTTAAATGAACAGAAATAATGTTGGGGGAAGTTGAGAAATAGATTAAAAATAAATTTCCTTTGACTTTAAAATGATCATTGCCTAAAAAATTTTTTTTTATCACCTACCTTCTAGTCTTTCTTCCAGAGGAAGACCAGTAATTGCCTTTTCTTTTCGGATGTGGAGGTACCCATTGATGCCTTTTCATTTGCTTCTTGAAGGTGACCACTTCCCAAGAAAATGTTTTCGCTTCCACCAACTTGACAGTGTTTTGTGTGTCTAGACATAATGGTAGTATTTCTGCATTTTACTCTGGTGGACATCTAACATTAAAACAAAAACCCAAAAGCAATCCAAACAAACTCTGAAAGCTTACTTCGGCTTCCGTGCTTGCATAGAGGGCATAGGATTTACTCCATTTTTACTCAAAAAAAGTTTTCTTCTTGTCTTCTCAGAAAGTATGGTCTAGTGGGGAAAAAAAATGCTAACACTGGAGTCAAAGCAGACGGGTTTGCAGTGTGTTCAAGGGGAAAAGCACTGTTTTTTGAGTTAGAGAACTTAGGTTCAAATCTTGTGTTCGATACTTACTTTGTTTGACTTTGGGAAAGCCAACTTTACCTTCTCCTTGGCATGTTTTCCTCATCTGTAAAATGAGTGGGTTCTACTAGATGGCCTCTGAAGTGCCTTCCAAAGCTCTTGATCTATGAACTATGAATCCCTGTATGTCTTTTTGAACAAGTGGCTTAATTTCTGAGCCTTAATTTCCTCATCTATAAAAGGAAGACAATACCAATAGTTCCTACCCAGCTTCCTTCTGCAGTGGGGGTAGTGAAAAATCAAATGAGAAAAATGTATGTGAAGTATTTTGCTAGCCTTAAAGCACTAGTTAGTTTTCTCATTTCCAGTCTAGCTAAGTGATGCAGGTGGTGAGAGTCTCCAATCAGTGGCAATTAGGTTGCACAGTGGATAGAGCTATGGGCCTTAGGTCAGGAAGATGCAAGTTCAAATCCAACTTCAGACATACATACATACACACACATATATACACATATACACAATACGCAAATATGCATGCACACACATATATACATATATATACATACACACACACACACACATATATATATATATATATATATATACATGCATATAATACACACACACAAGCTATATGACCTTAGGTAATTACTGTCTGCCTCAGTTTCCTCAACTATGAAATGAGGATAATAGCACCTACCTCTTCAGGTTGTTGTGAAGATCAAATGAGATATTGTAAAGCACTTAACACAATGCCTGACATATAGTAGGAGCTTAATAAATGCTTATTTCCTTCTGTCTTTTCAATCCTTGCCTCTTCCTTTAAAAAAAACCCTCATTATATCCTTCTCTTCCTGAAAGGCATACACACCTACCTCTTTCATTTGGTTTGCATGTGTTTCACTTTTTTAGTCCAATCTCTAGAATCTTGGAAACTTATATCTAGACTCCTCTAAATGGTCTCATTTAGATTCCATCTTGTCCTTATTGTGCCATATTTCTTCTTTCTTCCTTCTGAAAAACATTAGACCTACTTCTTTTTGAAATACTTTTGGTCTCATTTGTCTCTCTCTCCCGTAGCAGAATCAATGTTTCCAATTCATCACCTGAAAGAACTACTCATTCCTTGGGCCTTTGGAAGGTATTCTATATTCCTGAAAATTCTCACCCTCCAATTCTCCTTTGGGTACTTTCATTATTTGAATCCATTCTTTCAGTTCTCTTTATTAAGAATCTTTAAATTTGTACCTGCTCTTTCTTCTGAAGAACATGTCTCTGAGACATTTTTCTCAGTTAGACAGATTGCAAAGTTGTCTCTCTGAAGTACAAAGCCACTTGTACCTTTTTAGGATACAGAAGGTCACGTACCTTGCCTTTTGAAACACCGACTTTCGGTAGGAAGGCATCACAAATAACTAATCCAATTCTTTTGGACTTAAGTCCTTTTGGACCATCGATTTAGCTGAACTAGACAACTCACCTTTCCACCATCTCTGAATTTTATTGGCTCTGAGGTTGGGTTGCTGATTTTCCTCAAAGAAATACATGTGAATTTTCTGCCCCTCTGGACCTTCATTTCCTACCTGTTATCACACTGAGAACTGTGTTACTGGGTTCTGTGTCAAATATATGATTTCATGCTGAATATTTTACCTCATCCCGAAATGTTAAGTAAGAGCCTTTTGAGAGCACAAATATGTTCCGGAAATATCTACTGGAACCACTTCCCTGTTCTGAAACTTTCGTCAGCCTGCAGGAACAGAATTTTTCATTGGGAGTGGTAGTCAAGTATTATTTGTTGTAATAGACATACCTCTCCATTTCTTCAGGGTTCTCCTCTTCCTATCCTTCCTTACCTTACATGACAAAGCTTTGGATTATGACCTCTCCATATATGAAGAAAAAAAAGTTTTTAGAGTTACCTTTTCCTCCAGAAATCTCTCTTTGAAGAGTATTCCCCTCTTTTAATTCCCCTTTCTCTCTCAGAGCTTGGACCTACCTTCAGCCTCTTTAGCAGAACTTATTCCACAACTCCTCTTAGTTTACAAATAAATCCAGCTTTCGACTATGCTTGCCACAGCATGGAGTTCACCTCTCTACCACTTGAGAAATTGGAAGTATTTTTATCTCAGTGTATTTCTATTTAAATTATTTTTAAGGTGATAAACTCTGGAGATATCTCAAAATAGCTCTTTGTTGTAATTTACAGCTTGTCTCTTCTGATTACGTCTTGATCAGTAAACTCAACAAGAGTGAATAAAAGTTCTCCTTTCCTTCTACTGAATAGTGGGAGTTAGTGTCTAAATGAGGGTATATCTCATGTGTCTTTTTCCTACCCCTTGCGTTACCCTTTAGCTACCATTCTGGACTTGGTGTGAGCCTTGAGCTGTTGTTCAACAAGAAGCTCAGAGTGAGGATGGAGTATAATAAGTTCTTAAGGTCTTAATAGCCAGATGGATGGAATCATTTTGGAAAAAAGGACCAGGATGGGATATGTCTGGTCCTGATAGGGGACCCAGCCAATACTTCTGGACACTATTGCTCATTGTGGTGGTCAGGGTTGGAACCCTATAAGCCTGAATAAGGGCAGGCAGCCACCTAGCCACCTACCTTGGGTAATTTGAGAGTTTGTTTGGCTCCCAAATTCTTGCTCCTTCACTGCCCTGACTCAGTGCCTGAAATTTTGATAATTAAAGTCATCCCCTTTAGTTAAGGTATTGTTTTCCAGAAGACAGGACCTGTTAAAATACCCATGTTGACCAGAAGGTGTGATTGATATATATTAAGATTTTTGTCAGATTAGTAGCTGTTCCCTATTCAAGAGAAAAGGGACATAGAATAAATTAGTCTAGGGAGCGAGGAAAGGTATTAGAGAAATAAGGAACCCCAAGGGCAATCAGATATCAGATTTTTGGATTGCACAAAATTGGGAAGGATAAGTTAATAAAGCTAATGACCTATACCTGAAGAGAGATCTATCTATCTACGGACTAGAACTGTAGGCAGAAATGAGCAAGATGAAAATCTTATGTGAATACTTCAAGGATCTGTGTTTTCATGGCTGTGGGAATTTCTCCCCGTGATACAAATTGCAACTTCTCTAGGAATTTAGTAGATGGTCTTGGAGAGCTGCTTGTGGTTAAAAGTGTCATCTCTCTGCCTGCTAACTTAGTGAAGAGCCTCTCTGAACTTAGCTAGGCTGTTCCTTAGACAACAGATATACCACCAGGATGTACTTCAAGGTCATTCCAACTTGGCAGGTGGAGGCAGACAGAACTTATGCTCCATGGCTTAGCTATCAGAAGCTTAGGGTTCACCCTCCATTCTGTGATGAGGAAGGATGACTTTAGTGGATGAAGAGAAAATATACCAAGTTTAAATACAAATTTCTACATTAGAGTTAAGAAAAATCAATCAAGCAGGTGAATAGTAGTTTGTGCAAAAACTAAAACTGGAAATTTTAGCTGATTACTTGTGATGAGCCAGTAATGTGATGTGGCTGCTGTGAAAGCTAATGGGAGCAATAAGCTATGTTTGTCTCCTCTTACTAGCATTTTCTAATAAACCTTAGAGTAGATGTTGTTTTCAGAATGTCTGTGACTTTGAGCCAGGCTTGGAACTGTCATGTACTAAAACTCCATAATTCTAATGACATAACAAGTAATAAGAATTTATTAAGCACCAGTGGACTGCCCAAACTCTCAAGAGACATGACCACGTGACTTTGCCAGATTTTAAGCAAAGGCTGAATGATCACGATCACTTTCCAGTTATGTTGTAGAGGGTGGTTTTGTTTGGGTACAGGTTGTACTAGAAGGCCTCTTCTGAAGGCTCCTCCAATTCTGATATTCTGAGGTTGTGTGAGATGTCCTCAGGAGTTAACAGACACAGGTGATTCCCTCCCCAGAATGGGTGATGTCTCAGGAGGACATACTGACATACAGAGGAAGAAAAATACATAGTAGGGACCCTAAACCACTGCAACTGTATTGCTTTGAAAACCTACCTGACTCCTTTCCCTCTTTTCATTCTGGACATAAGTCAACACAATTGGAAGGAAGTGTATCTTTGATATACCAGTAATGATTGCCTTGCCTCCTTTGTTTAAATGCCATGACTATATGTAGCCACAGTCTGGGTAGAGTTAGTTGCTGTCAAACTCTATCATTGCAAATGGCTGTTTCTGCTCCCATCCTCCATAACAATCAAAATGGAGTGTTCAGATCAAAGGAGGTCAAGAACACAAGAACATTGGACACCTATATGGAAGGGATAAGAGTTAGAAATACTGAAGGGTAGGGAGACTGTGAAGAAATCGAAGATATGTAGATAGAGCCCAAGACAAAATATGTTTACCTCATAATTGTAGACAGTACACAGGATACCTTGCTAATGTTTCCCACTGACTTCCTGTTGGTTAGAACATACCTGGAGCACTATGGTCACTTTTGGATGACAATATTTTAAAGGGGAACATTGTCAAACTAGAGTTGTCTAGAGCAAGGGTTCTTCTTAACTTGGGGTCCACAGATTTCAGTGTCCTTGGATTGATTCTGAGTGTCTTTGGATAGATTTCAGGGGGTCCATGAACTTGAATGGGAAAAACAAATATCCTTTATTTTCACTAACCTCTAACTGAAAATTAATGTTTCCTTCAGTTATTCAAAAACATTATTCTGTGAAAAGGTACCATATATAGGCTTCACCAGACTGCCAAAGGGAACCATGACATACAAGTTAGGAATTCTTGATCTGGAAGGAGGTGATTAAGATGGTGAAGGGTATGTACATCATACCACATGAGAAGCTGAAGCGGCAGGACTGAGTCTGCAGAGGAGCAGAATTTAGGTGGTCATGGGGGAGCATTATAGTTCCTGAGATGCTCTAGGGAGCTTAACTGGGAGCAATCGGCAGAAATCACAAAGGGTATGATTCAGCTGAGAATAAAATCTTTCTAATGATGAAAATTTTCCCCCAGTAGAGCAGGCTACCTCATCAGGTATTAAGCTGGAAGTATTCAGTCATAATCTACATGACTGTCAATGATATCATAGAAAGGATTCCTGAGTTGGGAAGGAGGCTGAACTCTGGTACTTTCCAAATGTTAGATTTTATGAGGGCTCTGGGTATGTGGAGAATGGCAGAATTATGAGGAAGGAGGCTTGGAGGAGAAGGTAGCACAGACAACAAACGTTTTGACTCATCTGAGAAGAATGTGTCAAGTACTCCTAAGTAATGGAACCAGATTAAAATGTAACTGAGAAATATTTAATAAAACTGCAGTAGGTCATATCAACATATGGTTTTCTAAGTCAGTATGTATTGCTAATAGGAATCCTTATGTTTCCATTGGAGTTTGACTCCCCTGATCTAAGATGCTTAGAATTGATCACTTCTGCTAGTGATGACACAGACCTCTTTCAGGCATAGCTCCAAGAACACCACTTTTCCCTTAATCATGAATAGATTTTTTTTATGACCTTGATATTATATGAGATTCTTCTTACCTCAGGTTACCCATATCCTTTAGGTATTGACAAGTTTTATATTGTTGCTCCCTTACCCCTTTTTCCCTCCCCACCTTTTTTTTTTGTTTCATAGGTCATGGTTTCATCCAAGTTTTCTTGCTATATTAATTATTCTAATCAATTCTTTAGTAAGAAGATGGTTTACTCACTTAAATAGAATTTTGGTGGAATTGATGATGTCCATTAATCACCTTTGATACTTACCTTAATCCTAGATCTCTTTCTCATGGAGTGTTTTTTCCCCCCCCAGCATATAAAACCTTGAAACTTTAGAAAAAACAGCTTTTTTCCTTTCCTTCTGTGAAATGACAGATTTATCATTTAGGATCACAACTGAAATATGATTTAGAGTTAAAATTCATAAAAGAACTGCTCTTTTCTTGATCCAGTCCCAAAGTCTTTGGTCTCCGTCCCTCATGGTCTGATTTTATCCTTTTAGTTTCTCTTGATTTTTTTTTTTTCATAAGCCATCCTACTTTATGGGCAGGGAAGGTGGTTGCCTATAGCATAATTTATGAAGGATACAAGGAAGGCTGTCCCCAGCCCCTGCAAAGTATCCTTCTAATACCCAGAACTATTCATTCCATGGTCTTTCTGCTCCTCCTCCTTAAATACACAAATACCACTGGAAGGAGTAATACAATAAAGTTCATCAAATTGCTTTCCTTTGTGACAGAAGAGATTGGGAAATGAGAGCAATGTGTGTCTGTGAGGAAGGATACCCCTGTCCTTCATGTTAAAAGGTGCTGAAGAGGGAGAAGTGGGGAGGGCAGGCACTGAAAATGAAACACCTACCTTCACTGTAGAAAGTCCTGGCACATCTTTCTAATGAGATATAAACACTCACCTTCATAGTTTTTCTTGTCTGATAAATAAATTGTCAGAAGTCCTGATTTAAGTCGCAAATATTCTTTCCCCTTAATATCTGTACAGTTCAAGCTTCTTTCCCTTCAAAAAGAAAATGAAAAAACAAATTACTTGTACTTGTACATATGTCTGCCTCCTTTTATGACAAAGTCCCCACTACATTTATGGTGTCACAATCAGTGTCATACCTTGACAACAGTCCAGCGATAAGTTCTGGTGCTCTTGAGATTGGTAGTGGGTTTTCATTACTGATGTTTAAGGTGTTCCTTCCCCGCTTAAATTCATTTTGAATCTCTCATAGATGATATTTAGATCCTTTTGTTGTTAATTTCCTCTCCTTCCCATCTATAGGGGTCCTGACAAATCTAAGCATTAGAATTTAAAAATTGCTTCAATTAGGGACCATTAATAAAGTAATAGCTTTGGTTGTTTGATAATCTGGGAGGAATGGGGAATTTTGCAAAAATCTCAGGTAGCCAGGAATTAATTTACCCTAGGACAGGTGATTAATATTCCTATTAGCTTTCCTTCGCTGCCCTCCTTAAGATTTTTAAGTGGAAAAAAAAACAGTTTTTTTATGTGTGTGCGTGTGCACATGTGCATGTGTGTGTGTATGGAGGCAGCTCTATGAGACAGAGCTCTTACTCTTTCTACCATAAATCTCTGTCCAGAGTGTGTAGGAAGAAGGGCAATTTTTAAGACACAGGGTGATAAAATAGTAGGAGTAATGCAACGGATGTCGAAGGACCTGAGTTCAAATCCCATCTCTGACACAACCCATGTGATGTTGGAAAGTACCTTAATAGTAACATCTTTGGAGCTCAAGTTTGCTTCTCTGCAAAAGGGATTGTACCAGGTTGTCTCTGAGGTATCTTCCATTTCTAGATCTATGATACCATGAAGGAGTTGGATTAGAAGCCTCTATGGTTCCTTCTAGCATTCAAGTATAATGTTATGAACTATTTCCCCCCCAATAGTCCTAACTAGTAATGATTCTATTTAAGTTTGGTTTTAGTGCTAATCACTAGATTAAAGATTGGCATTGGGGGGGGGAGATGTCTTAGAGATTATTTAGCCTTATTTTACAGATGAGGGATTACTGGTTTTGATTGTTATTGATTGATTGTTATTGATTACTCAAGAGAGCTAGTTTTTGAACCCTGGTATACTGGTTACAAATAAGATGAATGTTCTTTCTACTGTGTGATCTATATCTATATATCTATCATATATATGTATGCATTACATATACACATACTTGTGTGGATGTGGATATGTGGACATACACACACATCTGTATATCATAAAGAGTGGACTTATAATTTTATTAATTTAGAGAACTTCTCCTACCATTGAAGTTGGTACAAACCTTTCCTCAACAGAGGGAGACTTTAAAGAATAATGTCGTTTGTTGGGGTTGGAGTGCAAAGAGAAAATGATACATTTTCAGGGAACCCAAGCAAAGACTTTTTTTTTTTGTAGTATGATAATAGGATATACTCTATGAAAAGTGGTCTGGTTAAGAATCTGGTGGTTCTTACAATCTCTTTCCCTTCCTTAGATCTAAAAGGGACCTTAAGGATCAACTTTCTCAACTTATGGATGAGAAAACCAAGATCCAAAGAAATGAAAGGCTTTTGCTCAGGTTAGCAGGACAAATTAGTAACAGAGCAGAGTGACTAGAACCTTAAGCAAGCTCCTCTCAGTAAATTCTTGGCTATCAGAGAAAAACTAACAATGGGTAACACACCACATCTGAGGTATGTTTTGATGTAAGGTTTTAAAATTGCGCAATGTTTCTAAATGATAAAAAGCCACCCAAGTTTTTTGCTTGAGATTCAAAAGATGAATTCTGCTTACATTTTGAGATCTCTAGTTTTTAAAATGTTTTTACTACTCTCTTCAACTGTTGTTCTATCCCCAGATTTGAATCGCTATTGACCAATTTAAATCTGAGTAGCACTAATAGCTAGGATCATTAAATATTTCTTTTGGATGACCAGAAAAAGTTTTAACTTAACAATGGAAAAGGTTATAGATTTAGCTACCAACAAATGATTGCCAAAAACAAACCTTTGTTAATAAAGTATGTTGTCTTCTACATTTTATCCCTTTGACTCCAAGTACCAGCCGCCTTCTTTGTCTGCTCTATGAAGACTGAGATTGATAAGAATTGAGTGCAATGTTTTGTGTTCTTCTTGCCATGGTGATACTTGCCCTTATGACATCAGAAGTCAGCCTGCATCACCAGCTACCTGTCTATTGTTTATTTTAAACTGGATTTCTCATAGGCATCTCAGCTGCAACATATCCAAAACAGTATCCATTATCTTCTTTCCTCCCCACCCCCCAATCGATTCTTCCTTGAAGCTTCTCTAATACTGTCAAGGCTGCTACTGTTCTCCCAGCCCATAACCCATAGCCACCACCCCAATTCAAACTCGTGTCATCTCTCACCTGGACTATTATAATTTCCTAATCTGTTTTTCTGCCTCAAGTATCTCCCCACTTCATTTCATCAATCCATCCTCCATACAGCTTGCCTATGTGATTTTTCTTAGCATATCACATCATTGTCCTCTTCCCTCCTCAAATGAGTAAAATCCTTTGCCTCCCTCTTACTTCTAGGATCAGATATAAACTCTTTTGTTTGGCATTTAGGTATCTTCACAACTTGATTCCTTCCTACTTTCCTAGTCTGATTAAACTTTACTCCCCTTTATATATTCTATGGTGCAGCCATTCTAGTTTACTTACTGTTTCTCACACAAGATCCTCTATGTATGTCTCATCTATGCATTCGTACTAGCCGTCTTCCATGCTGGGAATGCTCTTCCTCCTCACTTGTGACTCCAAGATTTAGCTCAAATGCTACTTGCTGAAGGTGTGAAATTTAGACTTGATATTGATTTATTGATTAATTAATTAATGGTTAAGAGTTCTAGTTAATCACTCGAACTGGATCAGATTTGGATTTAATTGTATATGCCTCAATAGCAGAGTTGTATGAGCTTAGGTTCCTTAATTTCAAGGATTTCAATGTGATCTTTTCTCATGAGGGAGATAAGGAAGATGAATGGAAGATGAGGCAGTCTGGTCAGGAGATGTTTTGACTACCACTGGGTCTCTCTGGTGTGCAGTATTATCTAGCATTGGATTTTATGGAGGATGTTGACTCTGTGTTTTCCCCATTGCTATGGATTCTGGAGAACCCCCTCTTGCAAGTCAACATGATTAGGCAAAATGTATAGCCTACCCTTTGCCTTTCTTATAGACCCAGTACAGTCTTAGTTTAGTTTGCATCACTGGACCTCATGTCAACTGTATAAAAAGCTGATCTGTCAGATGAATCCTTGGCTACTGATAGGTCCATTGACCTCTTTTACTGGCGATTGCTAGACTTGCTAATAAATTAATTATTCTTGGAATCTTGTGCCTCAGTTTCTCACAATTTTTTTTATTGCGACAAGGGGCTTCTCATTCCCCTTCTTCTGTACCAGCTGTTAGATATTACCTCTCATTTCTATGTATGTATCTTTTAAACACTAATTTACATACATTGAGTATCCTGTATTAGAATATAAGCTTCTCGAGGGCAAAAGTTTTTGGTTTTCTTTTTTAATGTTTAGCAGAATGCCTGGAACACAGGAAACTTTCAATAAATACTTGTTGCCTGCTTGTTTGCTTAAACAGCACTTCTGTGACTTGCCGGGTCTGAGGAAGTGATGGCTATGGGTGCTTTCCCACCCTATAGAAACCTCTACCCTGAGGCCTCACTCTCCTGATTGGTGACTCCCTCCATCAACCACTATGCCAGGAGGGACCTCACCTGCATTTCCCTTCATTCCTGGCTCAATTCTCTGGCTGCCTCCTCCTTCCCATCAGCAGCTTAGTTCCCTCCAAACATACCATCTTCTCCTCCCTTTCTAGTTCTCCTTTAAGTGCTGTTTCCCTCATTAGAATTTAAGTTTCCTGAGGACAATGACCATTTTCTCACTTATATTTGTAACCCCAGAGCTTAGCACAGTGCTTTTAATTAGTTAGTAAGTGCTCACTCTATCTACATATGTATCTGTGTATCTGTGTATCTATGTATCTATTTGTGTATCTGTGTATTTAATCTATCAGTATTTACTAAATATAGGCAAGTCACTTAACATTTACGTAATTGGGCATCTCACTAAAACTGTAACTTGCAGAAAAATGTACTGCTCTGAGCCAATGAAGAGCTTTCATTCCCTTAGCCCAGTGCCTGGCTGGCACATAGTAGGTACTTAATAATTGCCTGTTGACTGCCTGGCTGATTTTGAGTTTCCTAGAAGAGTGAAATCATAAAGCCTGTCCTGTGAGGCAGCTAGATGGCCCTAGGGCAGGGGTGGAAAACCTGCAGCCTCAAGGCCACATGTGGCCCTCTAGGTCCTCAAGTGCAGCCTTTTGAATCCAAACTCCACAGAACAAATCCCCTTAATGAAAGGATTTGTTCTGTAAAACTTGGCCTCAGTCAAAAGGCCACATGGGGACTCCAGGCCGAAGGTTCCCCAGCCCTGCACTAGTATATAGAACATTGGACCCAGACAGGACTTTGAATCCTGCCTTAGACATTGCCTAGCTATGTGCTTTTGTACAAATCTTTTAGCCTCTCTTCCCCTTATTTTCTTCATCTTCTCTGTAATCCGTAGTTAGTGTAATCTGTAATATGGGGATAATGACAACATCTACCTCACAGGGTGATTGTGAGCTTTTATGTTTTAAAGCATATAAGATAGTCTATGTAAAGTATATTGCAAACCTTAAAAACACTAGATAAATTTAAATTATTCACACATGCCTGCACACAGATGCTCGTATAAACACATACACTTTGAGTTTGTTTCAAGGTTCATGCTACCCTGAAACATGGTGATAACTTGTATGTGTGCGTTTGTGTGTGAGTATGTGTGGGAAAGTCCCTATTGAGTTGTCCTCTACAGCCTACACTTAAAGAGTTGCCCGTTTGGGGAGAGGATAAAGTGTCTCAAAGAGTCAGCCTTTGTGTGGGTTGCAAATGTGGTCCCATAGGGGAGACAGGGACTGGCTGATCTACCATCCCTCCTCCCACTACCCGCCACCCCTACCCCCCATGCAGCTCAAGCTTTAGAGTATGGGCACCTACTGCTTTAAACCTAAACTGAAGAAAAGTGAGGGGAAGCAGCTGGGAGACAGCCATGTCTTAGGGCTGGCACCATCCTATGACAGCACCACAGTCTTCCTAGCATTTTAAACTGTCTTCAGAATTATATTTCTGTGTACGGAGACAGCAGTTATATAATGAAAGGAGATAAAAAGTTACTGGTGTGTGACTCATTTATGGAACAGAAAAATTTTTTTTTAACAGCATATGCCCTTTTCATTTGGAGGTTCATTTCTTTCTTTCTTTCTTTTTTTTTTTACTTCATCCCTAATTGCTACTCTGTCATGACATGTGTCAACACTTTCTACTTATTGCTTGGATTTTATAAGTACCTCCATTTACTCAGCTAGGGAACTTAATGTCCTTTACCCATGTTAACAACTTACCATGGGACTTATTTTTTTGGCACATCTACAATAAAAGTAAAATCTAGAAAGATTTCCTAGAAAAATAGAATCTTAGAGGTGGAAGGGTCTCTACCAGTTTCTTTATACCGCTGTCCCTATAGAGCTTGCTGTATCTTAACTTCTCCCTCTTGGGCATCACTAAAACAAGTCATGAGCTCTGAGTAAAGATGATAGACTCGAAATCCTAAGTAACTTTCCACTTTGGTGTGATGTCTGATCTAAACAGTTTTGTTCTAACCAAAAGGTTGAGCCTGATTAAAAATGGAAACTCAGATGAGGGAAGGCACCAAAGACCATCCTTCCCAGAAGAGTCATTCTTTTCTGGCTCTTCCAGCTCATTAGCTAAGATGGAGTTAGAAGAGCCAGGCCATTCTCACATCTGCTGCCTTCTCCAGTGTCTCTTCTCTGAAGTAAAACTGTGATGTAAACAGCATGTGTCATGTGCCAGTCCAGGGAAACTGGGCCTGCTGGGTTGGCCTCCCCCTTCCTTTCCCCTTCCAATCCTTTATGCAAGAGGATAAATCATAAGGAAACATGTAGACTCTCAGGGCATTGATGTCTCTGGGGAAAAGGATGCTAGGATGATCCAGGGCCTGGGACCTTACTACCTCTGACTTGAAAGGCTTTGAGTTTATTTCTGTCAAGTTTAGCTTACAAAACAAACTTGTTTACTCCCTGCCACTTTTTGTTTGAAGGTCCCAAAGGTCTTCAATAACATTCTGAGAGGCTTCCTGGCAGCTTCTATGTTGAACTGTTTAACAGATGGTAAATAAATGTCACTATCTTCTATAGCCACGAATACCACTGCCTTTGTTTAGAGAAAGCTCCAAGCCCACATCAACCCATCACCACCAACAATCATTTATTATTAACCTATGTGTCAGGCAGTGCGGGATACAAAGATGAAACTGATAGAGTCCCTGCCCTCGAGGAGCTTACATTCTATCTTCCCCAGCCATACCTCAGGGCTGTTTTTATTTTTAGAATGGAACTATCCTATGGAATATTTCTGTGAATCCCTCTTTCCCTTCTTTCTTGCTTCCTTTCCCTTTTTCTTTCTTTCTTCCTCTTTCCTTCTTTATTTCTCTTTCCTTCTTTTTCTCTTTTCTCTTCTTTCTCTCTGTATATCTTTTTTCCCCTTCCTTCCTTCCTTCCTTCCTTCCTTCCTTCCTTCCTTCCTTCCTTCCTTCCTTCCTTCCTTCCTTCCTTCCTTCCTTCCTTCCTTCCTTCCTTCCTCTCAAGACAGAATGTAAGGGCTGCTCATTGCTCTATCTCACTATGAATCAACATGGAAATTTTGACTTCCTACCTGAGCTGGTTTACCTTTCCTTAGATAACCTAGTGTGTGGCCTCCTGTTCCCCAGAGGCTCATCGTACTGACCCAAACATTTTATGGATGCTAAATCAATATAGCCCCCTGCAACCCAGAACTCCAGATCAAGAGATCCTGCCTCAGCTTCTCCGCTTGCTGGGACTACAGGTGTGCACCACCACACATGGCTCAGTGCTTTTCCCACTACACTAGAACGTAATATAAAATGTAATATACTTTCCATTACAGTAGGCAATAGCCTGCTGGTAGGTCTGCCTGGATCAAGTCTCGCCTCCCTCCAATCCGTTCTTTGTTCAGCC